GTTCTGGACATGAATAAAGTTCAAGAATGTTCTAGAAAAAATGACCAAACATAATGACCACTCTGGAATGTTCAAGAAACTTAATGTTACTAATAATATACAAGATGAAACAATACAAATACAACACATCTCACAACAATTCTACTAGACTTGCTTCGGATGCTGAATCTGACCTACATTTTCCGGTTGTGTGAACAGGTTAAAGTTTTTGGTGCAAGTTTCATTTTCAAGTTACTATGAGACATATATTGACCAAACTTACATGGATGATACATCTTAGGATGCATACTACCAGCCTTGCTTCGGATGCTGAATCTGACCTACATTTTCCAGTTGAGTGAACAGGTTAAAGTTTTTGGTGAAGGTTTCATTTTCAAGGTACAGTGTACTATGAACCCTATAATGACTAAATTGCATGGATGGTACATCTTAGGATGCAAACTACCAGACTTGCTTCGGATGCTGAATCTGACCTACATTTTCTGGACGAGTAAACAGGTTAAAGTTTATGGTGCAGGATTCATTTCCAAGTAACTTTGAGCCCTATAATGACCAAACTTGCATGGATGGTACATCTAAGGATGCATTCTACTAGGCTGGTTTCGGATGCTGAATCTGACCTACATTTTCTGGATTAGTGGAAAGGTTAATTTTTTTATACAGGTTTCATTTGCAAGTAACTTTAAGCCCTATGTTGGCCAAACTTGCATGGATGATACATCTTAGGATGCACACTAATGGACTTGCTTCAGATGCTGAATTCGACATACATTTTCCAGATAAAAGACCTCGTAAAAGTTATGGGTGCAAGTCTATCACCAAGAAACTAAGGCTTATATAAACCAGTTGCACAAATGATGCATCAAGGGATGAAAACTCTCAATCTTTCTTCAGATGCTGGATTTTAGTTACATTTTCATGATGAAGAACTGGTTTTTAGTTTTTATATAGGTCTATTTCAAAGTATTAAAATTGCATAAATTTTGCATTTTTGGATGTACATGTATACTTTTTGTTGGTTAATTTTGTGACTTAATTTGCCTTACTTAAATACAACACACGTTGAGGTGAGCTCTGTAATCTCTGATTACCTATGTTTTAAACAGTTGTGGAATTCTTTGGTCATTTTCTGCAAAATTAATCTTTTTGTAAGATGGTAGATAGGGGTGTAATTTTGATTAAAAGATGTAACAGTAGTATTTAATTTTGCATTCATACGGAAGTAATGTGTTGCAAGTTAGTTTTATAATTATTTCTCTTGTATATGGTTTTGAATAATATTTAATATTGTTACTCAATTATTACATGGTAAACTATAGAAGAGGTGTAATATGTATTTTTTTTTTGTTTTGAAGTCTGAGCTGATGCCGTCGTATATAATAAGATTTTATTTGAATATACATGTACTATTTATAAATTCTTGATTAAAATAATGAAACAATTATTTTCAATTAAAAATGATAGAAGAAATCAATTAATTTATTAAAAGGGTATAGTCTTAATTTTAAGAGGATTTCCAAAACGTTTGTCCAAACTTAAAGTGTCTTAATAGCATGTTTGTACAATAGAAGTGGGTAAGAATTTGATAATTTAAAAGATTTTTGTTTCTTTTTAAGGCATTTTTTAATTGTTGACAGCATTTATGGTTTGAAAACTACAGTATAAGCCGACGAAATTAATCATTGTTGTTTTAACAGCTGTTCATTATATGCAGACGTGTTTTATTTATGGAAAAAAAAAAATGCAATTTTTTGTTTTCCTTGTTGTAAAATGTTTTCTTACGAAACAGCGAGATTTGGAAGAGATATCGGTCTTTTCATTTGAAAATTTTTAAACGTATATTTTTTGCATATGAAAGTGGAAAGTTTTAAGACATTTTGATCATTCAAACATATATTTGATCACATAAAGCCGAAAATTGACTTTTTTTAATTCAAAAAAACGCATGAATTCCGGAGTCAACGAAAGTTCTAAAACTATTGGTGTACTTTAACCCCCTCCCCACCACCGCTAAATTTTTTTTTGAAAGCAAAGATATGGGATTGTATTTGATCCAGCTTTTTGTACTAGTGTACATATACCACTCTAAATCAGTATCTTTTCTTTAGGCTAAAATAGAGTTTGCCAGTTTCTCCTTGTAGACTTTTGACCACAGGCACTTGTTTCGGTAATAATTTCTTTTAAACCCCATAATATACTAGAGGTACTCTGAGCAATGAGCTCACTAAATGATACTCCCCGCCTCCCATATGAATATAATATCCCATATGAATATAATGACAATGTCCATATTTTGCTGAAGGAAACCCAAAATATATATAGAATCAAAAAGTAAAATAGTAGGTACACGATGACGTGTAATAAAGATTCTATGAAAGTTTCATTAAATTTCATTCAGTGGTATGAGAGAAGTTGCAAATAAGAGATAGGTACCCCAAAGCGTATCAGACGGACGGACAGACAGACGAACGTACCGATTACTATATACCCTCCCGATTTTCAATCGGGGGGTTTGATTATTATACCTCCACTTAAAAAGGAATGTCTTTCCGTCTGTCCGTCCGTCCGTCCGTTACGCTTTGGGGTACCAATCTCTTGTCCGTAACTCCTTTTTGCCGAAATGAATTTTAACTAGAGTTACTGTGAGCAACGAGCTCACTAAATGATACCCCCGCCTTCCATAATGTCCATATTTTGCTATATAATGTTTTACGGTAACGTGTAAAGAGGAATAACTCGTGGATCTAATATTATTCAGAAGCCGCCATATCTCATGTCATAGGAAAAAATATAATGGCCATGTTTTACGATGGGAAACCTAAAATACGTTTTGGATCAATAAGTAAAATAGGAGGTGCACAATGGCAATATGTAATAAAGATTCTGTGAAAGTATCATTAAATTTCACTCGGTGGTATAAGAGGTGTTGCGGATAAGAGATGGGTACCCCAAAGGGTAACCGACAGACGGACGTACAGACGGACATACCGATGACAGTATACCCTCCCACTTTTTAAGCGGGGGGTATAATGAAACTTTCACAGAGTTTTTGTTGCATATTGCCATTGTGCAGCTCTTATTTTACTTTTTGATCGGAAACATATTTCAGATATCCCATACCAAAACAATGCATGAGAATGCCATTCTTTCTATTATATTGAAGGTCATGCGTCTTTTATTCACAACTTCTCCTATCCCACTGAATAAAATTTAAGTATATTTTCACAGATTCTTTATTACATAATGCCACTGTCCACCTCCTATTTTACTTTCTGATCTGACATTTGACATTCCCAGAGCAAAACATGGACTTTGCCATGATATAATTATATGGGAGACGGGGTATCATTTAGTGAGCTGAAGTGCTCACAGTACCTCATACCCTGCACATACGGGGGTTTCCGAATGAACGGCATTGACAATCGGACTCTCAGTCGAGGTGTCTGAGAGAATTTCGTATTCTGGCGCACTTGCTAGGGAATAAACAGGATTGGTTGTCATGGGAACGGGATCCTGATGGCCTTGAACTGCCGCTGGATCTTCATATTTTTCAGGTTGTGAAACGTCAGTCCTCAACTCTGACATAGTCTTTAAGTTTATGTAATAAGATGCACGGTTTTTAAAATACTTTTTAAGACTTCAAACTCTTATTAAGAGTTTAAAACCACAATTACACATACATGTACATCCTTACATATTCTTTCTGACATCCCCATATTTCAATATCATATAGATAAGTACTGTCAACTATGTTAATAGTTAGATGTATTAATACTAATTGACAATCCGATAGGAATGCATAAGAAAAATCTTTAAAATTCTTTTTCTCAAAAACAACAAAACTGTGATTGTTCAGATTTATAAAGAAGCATTCTCGGGTAGTTTACTTGCGTAGATTCAAGTTTGTTCAAATCATGATCACCAGGTGTAGAAAGGGACCACTATGGGTGACAAAGTTTTTACGTAGGAATACATAGGAAAAATTGTTCAAATTCTTCACAAGAACAACAAAGCCATGATTGATCTTTAATATAAAAGCATAAAAAAGGGTTAAGTAAATTTAAATTTGTTGAAATCATGACCAACCAGGAGAATAGAGGAGCCATTAAAATGGATCATTAGTTATTCTAACGAATATAAAGGCTATATCAATCAAATTTTCATCTTATAAACAGCAAAGCCATTATGTATCATATTGATTTAAGAGCATCCATGGGAAGTATAGATTTAAGTTTGTTCAAATACCCCACTCCTCTCTTCCCTGAACCCTATTTTTATATTTAAACTTTAATGCTGAATTGAATTTTGCTTTTATCTAGCCAGTTGCTCTGGTGAGCAATGTGGCCCTAGGACCTCTTGTTTTCTTGTTGCTTCTAAGGGTCTTACTTGTAAGCACACAGCTTAAGAGGCATTATCTGCCAAGAATTCAAAAAGGTGCCAAAACCCCCTATAAGTTTAACCATACCTTAGAACTAATGCATGAAATGATATATATTTTTAAAAATTAAATATAGTGACACATTAATACACCTAGTTTAAAGCTGCTCTTTATATTTTGATTTGTTTAAGTACAACTGTTTGCTGACTGTGCATATCATGTTATTTATATCTCGGTTTAAAGTACAAATCACTACACTGTAAGCTACCTTATCGCTGCTTCAAATCTAGGTCATAGGTAGACATTCAACAAACATGGCAGCCAGAACACCAAAATATCCACTGGGCTCTCCTCAAGAGCATATTGAAATGTGTAAAACCCACGATTTACCTATTGATGTTATATGTGAGGACTGTGATGAATTTATTTGTGGTAAATGTGCTAAAACAGATCATAAGGAGCATGAATGGAGCACTCTACCCACGGCAGCCACCCAAAGGAGGAGGGGTTTACTTAAGTTTCTGAAGAAGATCAAGGAAAAGAATCTGCATGGGATAAATGAAAAAATCGAGAAAGTGTCAAATCAGATCACAGAAAATAAAGAACTGTGTGACACTCAGATTAAAAAACTTCAGAGGCATGTTGATGAGATAATGGCCAGGTTGACAGAAATCAGGGAAAATAATGAACGAAGATTAACAGAGGATTTGGAGGAAAAAAATAAAAAGTTGAACAGTGTGAAATCTGAGCTAAACAAAAGGAAGAAAGAAATAGAAGAGATGGTAATGTTTATGGAGGATAACAACAGCACCATGTCTGATTATGGCTTCCTTGACAATCACAGGGAACTTATGGCACGCCGATTGGTTCAAAATTATTTTCTGCACAACGATCACGATTTTATACACGAGCTAGAAGAAAAATATACACGAGTAAAATAAAAATGCACGTATCGGTAAAAATTGCACATAGTTTAAAAGATTTTTACACAAACATAACGAAAAATACACGAATCCGAAATTTTTTACACGATTAAAGGGTTTAATATGCACAAACAAAAATCGAAAATTGCACGAGCAGAGGAAACTAAAAATTACACAAACAATTTTACTGCGCATACATCTGCGCATATCATTACTATGCACATAGAATATTCATAGTGTTCTTGGTTTTCTGTACTCTTTATCTCTTCGTGTATGCTAAGCTGAGTGTTATCGAGAATGGAAGTTGCTTTTCGGATGAAGTGTTTCCATCTGATCTATGCGAGAGTATTTAAAAGCTTTTTGAAAATACTATGTTTTTCTAATATTGACCGAGATCAAGGATGTATTATATGATGCGGACAAAAATTGTAACAAGAATGAATCGGTACGATTGTGCTACAATGCGGGGTAAAAAAAAAAAAGTACCATTGCGTATGATGCACTCGACTCCGAACTAAAGTACCTAACGATGAAAGTACAGTACGGCTGACAAGGATCTTGATTTTAAAAAATCATTTGAGATTTTTTCTCCATTTCGGAATAGGAAATTAAATATTCAGTTGGCTGGATTTATATAAATGTGTACATTTTTAAATTTAAAAAGTGTGGATTACCTTAGATGCACACAACGTATTTTTAATGTCAAACATAAAAACATTTTATTTCTATCAGGGACCTATATACTAGTATATAGGTCCCTGTTTCTATTTACATATGTATCCAACCTTATAAAATATCCGATATCAATTTTGGTTGAATATCTGTAGCCTACTTTTTGTTATGATTTTTTCCATGATATTTCATATTTTCAGTTATAAACTTCGAAATAAAAACAAAATATTTCTTGTAAGCGTTGCCCTCATTCGTAATGGCGATTACTTGATAAATGTTTTCATTTTTAATAAAAAGGACCAGATAAACGGGGAATATACTTATATACTCTATGCACATGCGCTTTTGTGTTTTATTAATTAAATTTGTCCAAATGAAATAACAAAACTCTAGATACTCAAATAATCCTGGCTATGGAAAAACACATGATCAGTGGCGGACCTGGCTCGTGGATCGATTGGAGTCACAATATAAATTTATTTAAGTTTCAAATCGTTGGACCATAATGAGTTAATGACACACCCCAAGACTTTTAAAACATTGTGAATTACTAAATACATTTACATACAATGCTACACATAAATAAAATGGGAATGAATACTGCAGTTTGATAATAAATGGAAAGAATATAGAACTTGTTTTATCATTCTTGAAAAATGCAAATAAATCATGTTCCAAATAGAGCACAATTTTTGCAAATATTTTCAAAGACAACAAATTCTCTTTACATGTAGAATTCGTATTCATAAAATTTTAATAATTTATTATTTCCCAAACACTAAATTTAAGTTTTTTTTATACTTTTCAATACAAATCTATGGCCATTATAACAAGAACATGACTGTATAATCATAAAATGAAATTAATCGGCAAACGGGCCTGTAGAAGTCCCCCCTCCTCCCTACTTTTTTCTGAGTATTATAGACTTTGCAACAGTAAATTTTCCTTATATGCTGGTTGACCCCCTAACCTTCAATTTTTAAATGTTGTTAGGTCGAGCGCAAATTCCAGGATATGGACGGTTAATTACAATATTTATCGTTATAGTTTTAGGTTGAATTGCAATCCTGATTTCGATTGACTACTTCATGTACGCTTAAATTCATAGAAAATTATTTCAGCCAGTAGCATCAGGAGGGGCATATCCCTCCCCCTGTTCGTTTTCTTTTCTTTGGCAAACATAACATTTTTCTATCATAAATATCCACTGAAAAGCCCCGTACCCTTTTTTGTTTGGTAGTTTAAATCTAAGTAATATATGCTTATGTGTTTAGAAAAGATGGTGGAATATTGAAGGTGCCTCACTACCTCAACGAAATATGATTTTCGAGTTTGGACACTTCCCACCCATCCCCGCCTTTTTTTCGCTTGTCATGCAATTAGGCTTTTCAGGTAATTTGTCCAAAAAAAATTCTAACCCCCTCCCCACTATCAAAAGCGATGCTTTACTGGTATTATATGTGTCTGTATATTATGATTTTAGATTGTTTTAATTCCTTTATATGCATTTTACCTATTCAAAGCAAACTCGATAAAAAACATAACATATTAAGCTTAAATTCACATAACTAAAACGACTACAATTTACATACAATTTTCTACATTTACATAGATATTTATGAAATAACTACACATTGTTCAAAATTAAAGACTACATCTTCTACTTTGTCACATACATAGTTATATAAAAAAAAATTAATAATTATATTCGATCGTTTCAATATAAAACTTAAAGTTGCGCAATTATTTGCCTTATTTTTATTTTTTACTGTTTATTTCCAAAAAGTTTTCTGTCAAATTCCACAACCCAGATGATCGCAGCAATGCTTCAAAATCTCTGTATGAATTGCTAGTAATCCTTAATCAAAAGGTATTATTGATGTGTCAAATAACTATAAATCGATTAGCGTTCAGGTGTCTTGCATTCCTTCACCAGCAGGGAGGGTTCTCTCTATATGAAAAGGTCACGCATCCACATCCTCAATTATACAGACGTACACACAGTGGGTGGTGGAGGAGAAGAGTTTAATTTGTTGTTAACTGTCTTGTATTACATCACATGCTGTTTTTATTAATATTTATGAAGACCTTTACTATATCAATATTTTACACCTTCAAAAGAAATTGCTATATGGACAATGATAGAGGAATGACACAATTTAAAAATCTAACAATTAAACACACAACTGGTAATATGCATCCCTTTTACGTTATTTATACATGTGTAGAATGTTTTTAATCGTGGTGTTCACATTCGATACTTAAGATTGTGTGTAAATTTATACATGTATAAAACACATTGTACATATTCTTGAGAGTCTAGCGGAATTCCAAAAGACGGAGTCCTTTTTAAAAAGATTAAATAAATATTACTAACACGTTACTAATTTATAGGTATATGTTTCAAGCATCCAAGCCACCCTGAGCTGTTCTCTAATGAATATTAATGAAATGTGCGCAATGAGGATGCGTCGTATATTATGTCGATGTTGTATTCTCACTCGTGCAGTTTTCGTTTTTACGTTTGTGTAATTTTTTCACTCTATCGTGTAAATATTTTGTTGATTGTGTAGTTTTTCTGTAGTTTGTGAAAATTTCAATAACTTTGTGTATACTTTCCTCACTTTGTGCAAGTTTTTACTTACTCGTGCAATTTTTGTTTAAGGTCGTGCAAAAATAATTTTGAACCAATCGGCGTGCCATAGGAACTGTCAAAAAAGTTGTCTGGTCTGAATGTTAATTTTAACAACTTTCATTATTCATTGAGATACGTTAAAGGAGATATCAGTAATGAGATGATGGAGAATATGATAGGAAGAAAACTCAGGATTTAAACAATATCAGTTTGACTGAAACAAGCTCATTTAAATATGGAGATGAATTAATAAATGTATTGAAGGCATTGTGTGAAGATCAGTGCTACATGAGAGAAGCAAAGTCACTTTCCATTGAACAAGTAAACAAAGATGGCGAGAAAAAACATACATATATGATATTGCTGCTAATTATCTGTT